ATAAGTTTTGATATTTTCATTTATTCATTTTTAACGTCAAAGGATTGGATGTAAGTATAATTCTATCTAATTAATTAAATTAAATTAAATTATCATTTTAAGCATGTATTTGTATAAACTGATTAATTACATGTTCATGGTTGGTAATTTATCCAAATGGATAGACCTCTAAATGGGGCGTATTTAGGACTAGCTTTACCTAGGCCATAGACCCCATATCAAAAAAATAAAATTATATGTGAGTTTTGTTGAAAAGTTATATTGATTTTTTCTCGATTCACCCCACACACACACATATATATAATTGTTATTAAATTAAAAATTAAAAATTATATACACGTTATGTTAGATACATCTTTTATTATATTTATACTGACTTAACCGATAAGTTTTTTCTAGAATCGTATATGTCTTTGAATGACTTGTGCTATAATTGTAACACTCAACCACTAAAATAAATTGTATTTAATTTATGTTTGACTAAAATTATATTTAGATTAAATTATATACAGTACAAAATTATATTTGAGTTTTGATTGTAACACTTTATCATGAATTTATCACATGTATGTCTTTTATGTCACATTTATGATATTAAACATGGATAGATACTTTGTTTTTTTTTTTGGATGTAAATGCCAAAGACCTTGACTTAAAACAACCAACACCTAGGGGATCGGGAAAGGACACTTTTAATGGTGATAGCATCGCACTTGAAATCATGCAGACATTGGGACCATGTTATTTAAAAAAGAAAGAGAGGCTTGTGATCCCTAGCTGCTGCTCAATCAATGTATTAGCAAGTTGCAACGACCTTGACTAACACAATTAATCATTTATACGACCATTTCCAAAACAATTTAATGCGAAGTCTCAATTCTATGCTATAAGTTGTGCCTTTACCAAAGAATACCATTCTAACTCGGCTGTTTCTCTGTTCATGATTTGCATTATACTCACACCCAACCTTATGGCAAAAACCCCCTTCCTCCCTTCTCTTATGTTTCTGTTGCTATTTGCGATCTTTAGGGCTACTTTGTCTGCCAACATCACCACCGATGAATCCGCTCTTTTAGCCTTAAAATCCCATATAACTCATGATCCACACAATCTCTTAGCAACCAATTGGTCCGCTTCTATCTCTGTTTGTACTTGGATTGGTGTCACATGTGGGTCCAAACACCATAGAATCACTGCTCTGGATTTGTCAAGTATGGATCTCACAGGCACCATCCCATCTCACTTGGGAAATTTATCTTTCCTTTCCTCGCTCGACGTTCGTCACAATAGTTTTCATGGTGCTTTACCAATTGAGTTAACCAATTTGCGTCGGCTGAAGTATTTGAACTTTGGTAACAACAACTTCGATGGAGAAATCCCATCATGGTTTGGTTACTTTCATGAACTTCAAGACTTGTGGTTGTACGATAACAACTTCACTGGAGTTATCCCATCCACCATAGGCAATTTGTCCAAACTAGAAACGTTGAGCTTGTATGAAAACAGTCTCAAAGGTCAGATTCCTATGACTTGAACTATACTCTCATTAGTAAAAAAAAAAAAGTTGATTTTACAGCTATCAATCTCATTGCAGGTCATCTACCATCAGGAATATTTGACAGTATTTCTGAATTACAAGTACTCGACTTAGAAGGAAATCAAATTTCAGGTAGAATTCCAAATAATGTATTCAATTGTAAAGAATTAACGATGTTATCATTGTATAGCAACTCTTTTGAGGGAAGTATTCCTATAGAAATAGGAAATTTGACTAAGCTCGAATTCTTGTATCTCAGTTACAACAATCTCAAAGGTAAACAATCACTTATTTTTACTTTCAGATGCTTTTTATTATTTTTCAACATTTTCCAACAAATTGGTTCTAAATGATATGTAGGGCAGGTCGTATTCCTTCCTCGATCTTCAACATTTCCTCTTTGCAACATATTTCATTAGGACAACAAAACAAATTCTCTATTTCTCTCTCCTCCAATATGTTTGATTACCTTCCTCGATTAATTTATCTTGATTTGGGTGGATGTCAACTTTCTGGAAAAATTCCAACGAGCTTATTCAAATGCAAAGAGTTAGAATATATATATTTGGGTCATAATCATTTGGAGGGGACTGTGCCATTAGAAATTTCAAATTTAACTTCACTCGAGACTTTCATCATTGAAGGAAACAACTTCTCAGGTAAGCTAAATGACTCGTTTAATTTTTTTTTTAATTTAATTTTTATGAACAATTGTTTAGATATTGAAGTATGATAGCCGTTGTCAATATTATGTCTCAAACCTTCGATGGATGAACTTTTATTTGCCACTAAATTTATAAAATTGAGTTACTATTTGGAGCTTTCATAAATGGTAAAAAAATTGAATAGTATATTCATGTTTAGAAAAAGAAAGAAAAGAAACAGATTCTCTAGTGCTGAACAAAGAAATTAAGGGTTTGCTAGAAAAAAATATTAATAAATTTCTACCGTATTTTTGACATATTTGATTTTACATTTCAGGTGAAATTCCATATGTTATTGGAAACATTATTTCTCTTAAGAAGATTGACCTTTCTGGTAACAATTTAAAAGGTATAATATTATACTTATTTTGTATTTTCTTGTACAATTTTCCTTTTTGCTTGACAATAAAAGTTCACATTTAAGAATAAAAGAAAAGAAATGGAAAATAGATCCCTATAGTGCTCAACAAAGAGTTAGAAAATTATAAATAACTTTTGACGAATTTAATTACATGTTTCAGATGAAATTTCATCGGTTATTGGAACTCTGACTTCTCTCGTATACATAGATCTTTCTAATAACAATTTCTCAGGTCAAATAAAAAAAGTGAATAACTTCTCATGTTCAGAAAATATTAATAAATTTTGATACATTTAATTATATTTTCAGGTCAAATATCGATTATTGGAAATCTTACTTCTCTTGAGGTGATTGACCTTTATGATAACAACTTTAAAGGTATAATCTCTTTTGATAATCTCTTTTGTAACAACTATATAAGTATAATCCCATATTTCATTCTCTAAAATTTTAATCATAAAATCATGACAACATATTGTGAGAAAACGACTGAATTTGAGAATGCTTAAATGTTTGCTTCTTGGTCATAACAACCTCAATGGTAAATAGTTGCTATTTCTATTTTATTTGTTTTTTTATTATTTAATTTATATGAACAATTGTTTTAAGGGTAAACTACATTGATAGTCATTGAACTTTTAGAGTGCCTTCACTTTAGTCACCGAACTTTTAAAACTTTATTACAGTCACTAAACTTTTAATTCTCTTTCATTATGGTCTCTGTCATTAAGAAATATTGATGTCTCACTTCTTCTCCAAACAAAACCCTAAGTTTCAAAAAACTTAGCCACCACGAAGGCCAAATTTTTTACGATCAAATTGATGGTTAGTGAATTCCAATGGTGGAATGATTCGTTTGACCAAAGGATTAACATAGTTAGGTTTTAAGTATATGATTGTTGACAGTGACAAATCAGAAAGTTTTAATTTTAGTTTCTCATGGGTCATCGCCTCCTTCCATCGTCGTTTTTGTCGGTGATCAATGGTTTTTTATCAACAAGATCACTACACTACTCTTCTTCTTCTTTGTTTCTTTCTTTCAGTTTAAAATCGTCGAAAAGCCTTCTAATCTCCTTAAATTTCAATCAAATACCAATAGAAACTAAAAGCTAAATTATTTTGATTTGCCATTTTCAATAGTTGGATCAATTTAAAACCGAACTATGTTAATCCTCTTGCCAAATGGATTATTTTCGACGTTGTGATTGACAAACGACCGGTCCGATCACAAGAAATTTGGCCTTTACAGTGATGAACAAAATTGAAACTTAAGGTTTTGTTCAGGGAAGAAAACTTTAACGAGTCACATCAGTATTTCTTAACAACAACCAACAATAATGATAGTAACGGAAGCAAATTAAAAGTTTAGTGATTGTAATGCAAGTTTTATAAGTTTGGTGACTAAAGTGGATTCACCCTAAAACAATAGTGACTACCAGTGTAGCTATTACTCATATAACCATTTTTTCTACAAATTAGTTTAAGGCTCATATAACCTTGGCTATTTATTGTGCAGGTCCTATTCCTTCCTCAATCTTCAACATTTCTTCATTGCATCGAATTTCACTGGGACACAACAATCTCTTTGGTTATCTTTCCTCTAATATGTTTGATTATCTTCCTTCCTTGATTACTTCATCTTAACTTGGAAAGCTGTCAATTTTCTGGAATAATTCCAATGAGTTTATTCAAATGCAAAGAATTAAAATCTTTGTATTTGGGTGATAATTATTTGGAGGGGACTGTGCCATTAGAAATCTTAAATTTGACTTCACTCAAGTATTTCTCCATCGAAAATAATAAGTTCTCAGGTAAGCTAATTGACTCGTCCTACTTCAATAATTTGCTTAAATATAAAAAAATATTTGCCATTGAACTTTTTAAATTATATTGTTGTAAATAGTAATATTTTTTTTTATTTATAACAAATTATATAATGTTTCAGGCAAAATTCCATCAGTTATTGGAGACATGATTTCTCTCAAGATCATTAATCTTTACAATAACAACTTAACAGGTATAACGTCATATTTTTTTCCGTTATGTTGTTGTTTTGTTATATATTTATTAATTAGTTGAACGATTTTTTTTTGTCATTTGGTGGGCTCTTTTACCTTCAAACATGAATAACATAAATATTTAACTCATATAAATCAATTTCAAAGTTATTTAGACTCAAAATATTTTATTTTCCGTAGAAAATTTGCTAATTTGTTGAATGTCATGTAGTATCCAAGTGAGTTGTCAAAAAATATGTTTGCTGACTCCAAGTTCCAACTCTATTCCAAATTTTCTGCAAGGTCAAATTTTTTCCTCAACATGCGATTTGAGTTCCCTTAAGTTTCTCTTTTTATTCAAGAATAGTTTGGATGGAGAAATTCCAGGATGCATTGGAAACATGGGTTCATCTCTTTCACACCTTGACTTAAGGATGAATAATTTTCATGGTAAAATACCAGAAAATTTTGCTAAACGTTGCACGTTACTAAGTTTTCGAATCAACAACAATCAAGTCGAAGGGTCGCTACCACGATCTTTGGGTAATTGCAAAGATTTGAAGCTTCTTGATGTTGGGAACAACTATTTAAATGACACTTTCCCGAAGTGGTTACGAAATTTGGATCAGCTACAAGTTCTTATCTTGAGATCAAATAGATTTTATGGACAAGTGGATGGCTCTGATAGTAGTACGGTTTCCTTCACTCGTTTACGTGCCATTGGTGTTTCTCATAACAACTTCAGTGGCTGCTTACCTACGAACTTTTTTGAAAATTTACATGCCATTAGAGAAGGGAATGGAAAGAAAGACAAAGCAGAGTACATGGTAGATGTGTTAGCAGGTTTTGAGTGGAATTATGCCTTTGATTTATCTTTTACAACAAAAGGATTGGAAACAGAGTTTGAGAAACTATTAACCATATGGACAACTATTGATTTTTTCAACAATCAATTCATGGGAGAAATTCCTAGAACAATTGGTGAACTTCATTCACCAATTGTTCCCCTATTACTTCGTCTTGATTTGGGAGGATGTCAACTTTCTACAAAATTCCAAAGAGCTTATTTAAATGCAAAGAATTATAATATATATTTTTGGATTATAATTATTTGGAGGGGACTGTGCCATTAGAAATCTCAAATTTGACTTCACTCGAGGCTTTCACCGTCGGAGAAAACAATTTCTCAGGCATGCTTAATGACTCATCGTGCTTTAATAATGTATTTAAATGTAATAAAACAACTTCTCAGGTAAACTTAATGACTCATCACGCTTTAATAATGTACTTAAATGTAATAGAGTTATTTACCATTGAATTTTATTTTGTTTATTTTTTTAATTTATTTTAACCTTAAAATACAAATATAAAATTATCATATTACTGTACCAGTGGCGGATCTAGAAATTTAAGAATGGGAGTCCAAAATTTTAATTTTCTTTTCTTAAAAATATTGGGTATGCAAAATTTGTAATTTTTTTTCTTTTTTCCTTAATACATTAAGCTAAATTTAACCACATTTTCAAAATAATGGGGATGCACTTGGCCCCTATGGGGGCTTAGTGCATCCGCCACTGTACTGTACTCATCAAGATATAACATAAATATGCCATCAAAATATTTTGATGAATTATTTTTGTATGTCTCGGGTACAATTCCACCTATAATCAGAAATATGAATTACAAGCATTTGGAAAAAATTAAATGATTTGTGATATGTGATTATCACATGCAAATTATTATTTAATATGCAATCACCTAGTAAAATTATATACAATATTATAAATGATATGTGATTATCTAATATCCATACTATATTATATACATGTCCACTATATAATAATATATAATATAAAAAAATAACCACGTGTCATCATCCGGATAAAATGAATAATGACATGTAGTGTTCTCTAAGGCGAAGTTGGAGATGGTAAGAAATAATAAGAGATTGGTTTCTGCGTTCTACGGGATTATAAAAACTTTTAAATTGAAGGTTATTTTATTTACGGGATTATAAAAACTTTTAAATTAAAGGTTATTGTATTTATTTTTAATTTGTGATAATATGAATATTTTGTTTGTGCTAAGTCTTCAGAGGTGTCGTGCATTTGGATGAATAGACCCTTAAACCATCCTAGTGCTATTCTTCAACTTGAGACTCAAGTCTTTCATACCCTCCAAAAAAAAGGAAAGAAAAAGACTCAAGTCTTTCCTTTTGAGCTGTCTACTGTGGTTGGACCACAATAATTCTACGCATTCCTTCGTCAAATTAAGGGTATGATTTTTTTTAAATATACAACTGTGAGTGGAGTAGGACACTTTACGACTTGTGACTTCCTTTTGAGTTGTCTACCTCAAATTATGGGTATGATATTATTAATAAATGTTAGTTTTTGACTTTATGTGTTGGCAAAACACTTACCAAGAAATTAAGGAGCAAAGAAAAACACAATAAAATAATTATGTGTTGGCAACTTTCAAATGCATGCTTAAAGCTTAAAGTGGCAGCAAAGAAATTTCTACAACAAATAAGAGGAGTTTAAAATGACAAGGAAAATTACATGAATGCGAAAATGTCCATTTGGAAATTGAAAACAATTACACAAGGGAATAACAGTAGCTAAGACCATCTCCAATGCTTATCCCTACTCTAACGCATCTCTATCTTTACTCTAGAGATGAAACAGTAATTCATCTCCAGCGCTATCTCTACATTATCATTAACTCTACTTTATTCACAATATTTAACTATTATAATATTAATTTTGTAAATTTAAAGAAATCATAAAAAAATACAAAAAATTCGAAAATTTACAAAAAAAAATTAGTATGATTATTTATCTAATTTTAATATATTTTTATCTATCTTATAATTTAATATATTTTAACTAAAAAAAAGCAAATGTAGCGCGAGCTACAGTACCGCGCTAGATGTAGCATGGTACTGTAGCAAATCTGTACAGTGTCGATGGAACTGGCGCAGCGTTGGAGCGCGCTACAGTGGAGATATGCGCTAGACTATTGCAGCGTTGGAGATGGTCTAAGACTGTTTAATAAGGCTATATATATATATATATATATATGTGTGTGTGTGTGTGTATATGAGTAGTGAGTGAAAAAAAATAACCTAGAGAAAGTGAAACTTAGCAAAGCTTTGAATACCGTGGTTGTATTTGTAAACTAGTCACAGTTAGTGTTTGTATCGTATTTGTATTTTGGTTTGTATTAATAATAGCGTGTGAGTTTATAAAATTACCGAAAGCCCATTTATTCTTCCAACAATAAATATATAAAATAAATATCATTTTAACTCAAATGTCTTGCAAGTCACACTCGAATGAATGAAAAAGGAGAGATTTTCCAAATACTTTACAATGTTTACCTAGTTGAACTCATCGTCTCAAGAGGAAAATGAGATAGAACTTATCAAGTGGTCTCAGTAGTAAAAGGGAACGTTGCTCTACTTAAAGGTTTCGGGTTCAAATAGCTACTTCTGCAAGGAGTGTGTACAATATTAATATATTAAGAAAATTTTAAACATACACTATTATGTAATCACTAAAAAAAAAGGAGAGGAAGACGGATAGAAAGATGGCTTGAGATTTCTAACAAATTACAAAGACCTTGACTTGGACAATTCATTGTTTTATAGTCATGTACTTTTTACACGACAATATATTTAACGCAAAGTCTCATTTCGTGGTTTTATCAAAGAATATTCAGCTGCCGTGATTGTCGTTCTAACTTAAAGTACTAGCATATTTGTCGTTTAAAATACAATACATGTTTGTTTATTTGGAACCGACATGCTTTTCAAGGCAACCTCTTGGTAACAGGTTGAGGTTAGGGATGGCAAACAGGTACAGTTTCGGGGATTCCGCACCGCATCCGCTCCAATTGGGGCGGGGATGGGTATAATTTTAGCGGGTAGTGGGCGGGTGTGGATTTAGAAAGTGGTACCCGTCGCGGGTGGTGGGCGGGTAATGGGTTTGAGACATTACCAACCCCGCATCCGACCGCCCAGTTAAATATCCAATAAATTTTAGACCATTATGAATTTAGGTGTAATTTTAGAGACAAATTTATAAATTCTAATATTATATAAGATATAACATGTTGTGCCAAAGAACAAAAACATTATGTGTTTGTCATTTATGTTTCTAGACTTTAATTATGACTTTTATTATGGTGTGTTTATATACTTTAAGATCTATATTAACACTTAACTCATATAATCCTTGGATTATTTTATTATGTTTCTTAATGGACATGTTTTTTTATGTTTGTTGCTTATGTATAACTTAAGTTTGTTGTTAGGCGGGTCTAGACGGGTACGTCGCTAGTGGGTGTGGGGATGGATTTGAGAATATACCCGCGTGGGCGGGTGTGGATTTGAAAATTTGTACCCATCATGGGTGATGGGCGGGTGGTGGATTCAAAAATATTAGGTGGGTATGGGGATGGGGATGGGGTATTCGCAACCGACCCGCCCGTTTGCCATCCCTAGCTGAGGTTGTCTTATCCCTTCAGTGTTTACTCTTAACTTGCACTTCAATTGTTTCTTTACTTATTATTTGATCTTTAAAGAAAAATTACCATAAAAATATTAGATAAACTTTAAATTCATATTTGATTTGATTAATAAATATAATATATACAACACCCAACTTTATGGTAAACTTCAATTGTGCGTATTTCTTATTCAAATTGTGAGTCGAAGGATATCGTGTCTAATTATTTAGAATCAAAGTATATAAAGAGCATCGAACTAACAATAGAGAAGCATTAAAACTCAGTTGTTTCTCTCTTCATGATTTGCATTTTACCCACACCCAACCTTATGGCAAAAACTCCCTTCCTCCTTCCTCTTATGTTTCTCCTGCTATTTGCAACCTTCAGGGCTACTCTGTCTGCCAACATCACCACTGATGAATTCGCACTTTTAGCCTTAAAATCCCATATAACTCATGATCCGCACAACCTACTAGCAACCAGCTGGTCCACTTCTATATCTGTTTGCAATTGGATTGGTGTCACTTGTGGATCCAGACACCGCAGAGTCACTGCTCTGAATTTGTCAAGTATGGATCTCACGGGCACCATTCCATCTCAATTGGCAAATTTATCTTTTCTTGGCTGGCTCGACATTCATCACAATAGTTTCCATGGCTCTTTACCTACCGAATTAACTAATTTGCATCGATTGAAATATTTGGACTTTGGTAGCAACAACTTCACTGGTGTTATCCCATCTACTTTGGGCAATTTGTCAAAATTAGAAACGCTGGTCTTGCTTAATAATTCTTTTTCAGGTTCCATATCTTTCTCGATAATGAATATATTTTCATTAGTTAAAAGATATATGTAACTAACAATTTTACTGCAGGACATCTAGAGTCTGGAATATTTGATAACATGTCTAAATTGCAAGTATTAAGCTTGGCTGGGAATCAAATTTCTGGTAGCATTCCTAATAGTTTATTCAAGTGCAAAGAGTTGAGGTATTTATCATTGTGGAACAACTCTATGGAAGGAAGTATACCTATAGAAATCGGAAATTTGACTATGCTCCAATCTTTGTATCTTGGTTTCAACAACTTCAAAGGTAAATTTTCCTTATTTGCATTCCGTTCTCTTTTATTTTCATTAGATAAAAGTTGTTTTATAATTAACAATCTCACTACAGGCCATCTAGAGTCGGGAATATTTGATAACATGTCGAAATTGCAAGTTTTAAGCTTGGCTGAGAATCAAATTTCTGGTAGCATTCCTAATAGTTTATTCAAGTGCAAAGAGTTGATGTTTTTATCTTTATGGAACAACTCTATTGAAGGAAGTATACCTACAGAAATCGGAAATTTGACTGTGCTCCAATCTTTGTATCTTGGTTACAATAACCTCAAAGGTACACATTTCCTCATTCGTATTTCGTTCGCTTTTATTCCATTACCTTTTTCCTTATTGTTTAGTTGTGTTCTCCTCAAGTGTGCTCATTAATAAATTTTGACGGAATTAATTATATGTTTCAAGTGATATTCCATCGACTATTGGAAGTTTGACTTCTCTAGTATTCATAGATATTTCTTATAACAAATTATCAGGTATAATATCATATTTTTAGTTTATTTTGTTGAAAATATAAGATTTTTGCAAAACAAAAACACCAGCATTGATTAAAAATAGTTTGAAATAGATTAGAATTAAGTTTAATTGTGTTGTGACTTAAACTACAACCTTAGAAGTAAATATTAATAAATTTTGACGGAATCTAATCATATGTTTCAGGTGAAATTCCATCTGTTATTGGAAACCTTACTTCTCTTAAGCATATTGGCCTTTCTCATAACAACTTCTCAGGTAAAGATATGCTTAAATTGTAATTTAAACTATTTAGAGCTTTTGTAAATGGTAAAATTATGATTTTGACGAATTTATTATATGTTTCAGGTGAAATTTCATCGAATATTAAGAATCTTATTTCTCTTGAGTATCTTAACCTTTCTAATAACACCTTAAAAGGTATAATATCACATTTCTATTTTTTTCTCTTATACAATTCATTATTTTGCTCAACATGAAGAAATTTAATCACATACAAAGCAGTCATGATGGAAAAATATGAAAAAGGTCATTTGAAAAGCGAAGCTCCCAAGAATAAAAATAAGGAAATAGCTTCTCATTACAAATCTTTTGTATGTTTCAGGTGAAATTCCATCGGGTATTGGAAATCTTACTTCTCTTGAATTGATTGACCTTTCTGAAAACAACTTAAAAGGTACCATATCATATTTCTTCTCTTTTCTTGTACAAGTTCTACTATTAGTCATGTAAACATTTTTCAACAAATTGGGTTTAGATGATTTGAAATAATAGATTAAAGGTTGGATTGATACAATTTTTATGTGGGAATTTTATCATAGTTTTAAGTATTTTCTTTTCATTATGCTGGAAAATTGAAGTTTGGTTATTTATTCCGCAGGTTCTATTCCTTACTCAATCTTCAACATTTCCTCGTTGCAAGTTATTTCATTGGCATACAACAATCTCTTTGGTTATTTCTCTTCCGATATGTTTGATTATCTTCCTCGATTACATTATCTTAATTTGGAATATTGTCAACTTTCTGGAAGAGTTCCAATGAGTTTATTCAAAAACAAAGAGTTAAACTTTTTGTTTTTGGATAGTAATAATTTGGAGGGAATTGTGCCAGTAGAAATCTCAAATTTGACTTCACTCAAGTATGTCTCTATCGAAGATAACTACTTATCAGGTAAGCTAAATAACTCATCTTGCTTTAATGATGTACTTAAGAGATGATGAGTTACTAACCATTGAACATTTTTTTAATAATAAATATTGTTGTAATTTGTTTTAACTTTTTTTATTTAGTTTCTTCACCATAATAATATTTTTAGTAACTTTATTATATGTTCCAGGAAAAATTCCATCAGTTATTGGAAACTTAACTTTTCTCGAGGAATTTGAACTTTCTGATAATAACTTAACAGGTATAATATTATTTTCCATTTTCTTTACTTAGTTACATGTTAATATTAGTAAGCTTTACAGTTTTTGCATCCAAACTAAATATTAAACTGAAAAAAATAAATTCCAAAATTATTTTATCAAAATATTTTATTTTTACATTACAAACATTATTTATTTCAAAGATTATTCAAACTCCTAATTTTAACTCTGTTCCAAATTTTCTGCAAGGCCAAATTCCTTCCTCATTATGCAATCTGAGTTCCCTTAAGGTTCTTTTCTTATACAAGAATAGTTTGGACGGAGAAATTCCAGATTGCATTGGAAACATGAGTTCTCTTTGACCTAGAGAAGAATAATTTTCATGGTAAAATACCAGAAAATTTTGGTAAGAGTTGCACCTTACGCAGTTTTCGAATCAGCGACAACCAAATAGAAGGGTCACTGCCACGATCTTTGGGTAATTGCAAAGAGTTGAAGCTTCTCGACGTTGGAAACAACTATTTGAATGACACATTCCCAAATTGGTTAGGAAATTTGGATCAACTGCAAGTGCTTATCTTGAGATCGAATAGATTCTATGGTGAAGTGGTTAGCTCAGGAGTTACAGTTTCCTTCACTCGTTTATGTCTCATTGATATTTCTCATAACAACTTCAGTGGCTATTTACCTATGAAATATTTTGAAAATTTGCATGCCATTAAAGAAGTGAATGGAAAAAAGATAAACCAGAGTATATGACAGATGGATCAGCATTTGGAGTGTGGAATTATGCCATCAACATATCTTTTACAATAAAAGGGTTGGAAACAGAGTTTGAGCAACTGCTAACTATATGGACAGTTATTGATTTTTCCAGCAATCAGTTCTACGGAGAAATTCCTAAAACACTTGGAGAGCTTCACTCACTTATTGTCCTGAACCTCTCTCATAATTGTTTAACAGGTCATATTCCATCATCATTAGGTGATATGTCAGAGCTTGAATCATTAGATCTCTCATCAAACAAACTCCATGGAAGAATTCCAACAGAGTTGAAAAATCTTAGGTTCTTAGCCGTGTTGAACTTTTCTAAGAATAATCTCATGGGACCTATTCCTCAAGGCAAGCAGTTTGATACTTTCACTAATGATTCCTACTTAGGAAACCTGGGTTTATGCGGATTGCCATTATCAAAAAGCTGTGATAGTGATGAGGGAACTCCAGCTAAACCTGATAGAGATGATGATGATGGAATGAACTGGAAATTTTCAATATTGATGGGGTATGGATGTGGGTTGGTGCTGGGACTGACTACGGCATACATTGTATTCAAACTGAAAGACCATGGTGGTTCATTAAGACCTACGAGAGAGTTCGACAAAGATTTGCAAAAAAGGTAAAGAAGAGAACTCTTTGACGGATTTTTGCTGCAAAACAAGCAGTGGACTGGGACTTAATCCATCCACCCCTGGTTCAGGTCCTTCTCAATATCTGTTTTATATATAGTTTTCAAATAATTATGGTTTCCATCTTCTATTGTCTCATTTTCTATTTCCACTTTATTTTGGGCTTTCCTTTATATTGTAATTAGACGTATCTCCACATTCTACGGTATCATAAAAAATTAGATTAAAAGGTATTATATTTATTTTTAATTTGTGATGATATGAATATTTTCTTTGTGCCAATTCAAGTTATTGTTTGATGTAAATACAATAGGGCCTTGGCACCCTTCCAAGTTTAGAGTTAAATTACTTTTTGGTCCTCAATACTAGATCTGCATTGTATACTATGATGCTAGAACATACGAAGAAAAACAAATACTCGATTAAATTTGATAATAAGAAGAGAGTTAACTTTTCTCATAAGTTAACTCTCTTCTTATGTGCTTTTTGTGGCCTAGTGTATTACATGTTCCATTAAATTTGATAATAAGAAGAGAGTTAACTTTTCACATAAGTTATCTGAACAATTTTTCCCACAATTTATTTCTCGGACAATGAATATTTATGTCTATATTTTTTTTCTCGGTAAGCAGAATTTATTAGATATAAACGCACAAATCTATCCCGATTATATGTCTCATTAGAAACCTCCCAGGAGGAAAAGTGAAAAAGAGTAAGCACGATATCTATGTCTATATGCTTCAATCGAGAAAGGAAAATTGGATTCGAATTTATTGCTATGGCTGGTGTTGTGCCCTAGTGTGAAAAACGTATAGTAATTTCCCTACTTTGTTACGATACTCGTGTACATCTTTAAGTGGACTGACTGCATCCTCTCACAAAATCAAATGCTGTTTCTTATAAACTAAGGAAAGAAAGAAATTCTGAATATCAACTTATAGTTTATACAACAAATTAGATGGATTTCTACAATTTTAAAATTGAATAAGAAAGTTCTCATCCACAGAGCTGACATGAACACCTCAACCAATTTATATATAAGAATGCATGATACATTGAACACGGATAGATACCCAAATGCCAAAGAGCATGACTTTAAACAACCAAACCAATAAAAAATGACTTGTATTTTACCCACACCCAACCTTTTCATGCCATGTATTGTAGGTATTTTATTTTTAAAATTATGACTCAAAATGACACCCTCCCTAAATCCAAATTATTTAAAGACACTGAACTAAAAATAGAGAAGCACTACACTCAGTTGTTTCTCTCTTCACGATTTGCATTATATACAAACACACCCTTATGTTAAAAACTCCCTTTCTCCCTCCCCTTATGTTTATGTTGCTATTTGCAACGTTTATGGCTATTTTGTCTTCGAATTCACCCAACATCAGTACTGATGAATCCACCCTTTTAGCCTTAAAATCCCATATCACTCATGATCCACACCACTCTTAGCAACTAACTGGTCCACTTCTATCTCTATTGTGATTGTATCGGTGTCACCTGTGGATCCAGACACTATAGAGTCATTGGGAAGCAGTCGATAAGTAGTTGTTTTATCATTTGTATGGTGATATATCTTATCTCCTGGATGTTCAAATTGACCAAAATCTGTTTAGAGCCTTGACACAATTCTGAAATCCCGCTTATAGCTACTTTACATTTGGGAGAGTGGATCTGACACCTACCATAGAGGAGTATCGAGCTTTGATCCGTTGTTCGAGATCTCAGATGGATAGAATATACACCAAGTTGTCAATCACTCCTTCATTCAAAAAGAAATTACTCTTGATGACTGGAATGAGCGAAGAAGGGTTGTTAGAAACATTAAGAAGAAAGGAGACAACGAGTGCATCTCTTGGACTGCTCTGAAAGAAATAATTGATCATTATTCAGACAAGAGGAAAAAGCATGACTTGTTTTCTCTGGGGATTTATGGGCTAATTATTTTTCCAAAGGTGTTAGGGTATGTAGATGTATTTGTTGTCGACCTGTTCGAGAGATTAGACAAGCATTTGGATCATATTCCAGCTATTCTAGCTCAGACGTTTCGTTCTTTGAGTTCTTGTAGACGCGAAGATGAAGGATAATTTATAGGGTGTGTTCCCCTGCTGTTAGTATGGATTCTTAGTCACTTCAAGCACGTTAAAAGGGCACCAGAACGAGTGTTTCTGGACGGGTTTTTGCCTTTGAAGGATTTTCTTTCCAAAGAATGGCATGGGGGTTTCACCGAAGAGAAATGGATGGTTATCTTCAAGGATATCAGGGATGGTGATATTTTATGGCGAGCTTCGTGGAATGTCTCTTCAGATATACTTTACATATGTGGAGAACGATATTGGATTCCTTTTCCAGGTATCTGGGGTTCTGTCGGGTATGCACCTCTACTAGTTTCTAGACAGTATGAGTCAAGACAATTCATTCTAGCCACACGGGACTTGTCAGGGTCAGATTTTGCATTCAAAGGAGAACAATATAAGGGTAAAGTCAAGGGGATTGCTGAGGCATGGAAACAAACTTGTCGTGTGAATCTCTTCACTTATGATATCGAGTTATCTCAGGAGTACAAGCAATAGAGAAGTAATCGAGTAAATGATAATGTCCCTATGGTGAATCCTGAAAATATTCAGCCCATGGAAGAACATTTGAGAATAGTGCCATCTCTGTTAGAACTAGCTAAATGTGACTTCGAGGTAGAAAGGAAACAATGGAGAGTAACCTTGCAAAAGTTAGAGGATGAAGTGTATCAAAAAGAGTTGGAGATTGATATTCAGAAGGGTCGAGCTGATCAGATTGAAAAAGTGGAGAAGCAACTTCGATCGGAGTTTGATGATCTTCAATTATCCTACCGATGAATGGTGAAATCTCAGACAGCTTCCAGTTCAAGTAAATCACCTGCTGAATGGAGACAAGAAGTGGCAAGCCTAAAGAGGGAAACTGAAGAAAGTAAGGAAGAGCTCAAGCAAAGTAGGCATCAAGCTAAGATTCTCGAAAGAAAAAGTTCTTTAGAGCAACGATTGCAAGAGAATCAAGCTGCATTACAACGATATTGAAACCGGGAAGGTAGCTCAACCCGTGGAGAAGTCAAAAGTCTGAAGAAATGAGTGAGTGCGCTTGAAGCTATGGTTTAAGATTTTCAGAGGCGAGCAAATGAGCTTCTAATAGTTCCTTATGAGGGGGTTATGAAGTGGCGTTATCGGTAGGAGCAAGCTTAGGCGAGGGTTAAACTAAGAGATGACCTCATTGCTTGTTACGTAGAGCATGCTCAAGAAATAGCTCAATACTTGATCAATCTGTCTCATGAAGCTACTGCTGTAAGTAAGAACTGGAGCCTGATGCTGAATAGAACTAGAGGATTATGAAGTTGCTGGCACATATACAACAAATAAGAGAAATAATGCAGATTTATCTGTGATATGATCCAACCTTATAATTGAACTTCGTTTATAATATAAAAAGTTGTTCTAAAGAGTCGTTCCAGGATCAACACCCTGCATTTTGCATATGCATTTTTATTTTTCTTACAATGCATTTAAATTTTTGCATCGTATTTTATTCATTCATAGGCATATATTTCATATTCATTAATAAAATATCAACATTAACAACATGACTGTGTGACAAAATACTGGAAACTTCCAAGCATCCTTATAATACCAGGAAAAAAGCCATGAATGACAAAATCGCTCAAATTGAGAGAACTCAACATAGTTGCAAGAGAATATGAGGAAGATACAAGACATGATGAATGATCATAAAGAAATGTTTGCTAAGTTTGCAAGTCTACTTGAAGGAAGGTATCCTGAACATGGAAAACGTCTTGTGCCCGGAACTGTAACTGAGGGACCATTTTACCCCCAAGTTTCACCCCAACGTAATCTCAGAACATTCAAGAAATGCATGTTCATACTGGGAAATTACACATCAATCCAGTCTGTGCCTCTATGAATTTGTGTCATGGATCTAGTTCACATCCTGAAGAACATCAATATCCTCAGGTTCCTGATCTTGATGAAGAAGCTAAAAATGAACAAAACAAACAATTGGAGGAAAAATAGAAATAGTTAGAAGGGACAACAGAGCTAAGAAAGAAGATACCAATGTGTGTGGAATCAACGCTAAAGAATTTAGTCTAGTTCTTGATTTGGTTTTGCCCCCGAAGTTCAAGATCCCTAACTTTGAGAAATTTGATGGTACTAGATGTCCCTCTGCTCATATTACAATGTTTTGTAGAAATATGATTGGATACATAGGGATAATCAATTATTGATACATTGCTTCCAAGAAAGCTTGACATGTTTAACAATCTGATAGTAATCAACTGAGTAGAACTAATATTAGGTCATGGAAAGACCTAGTTAAATCCTTTCTCGAGCAGTATAAACATGTGAAGGATGTTAGGCCTAACATAATGATGTTACAAGGAATAGAAAAGAAGTTTAATAAGAGTTTTAGACAATTTGCTCAAAGATGGAGGGACGTGGTTGTGCAAGTCCATCCACCACTAGAAAAGGATGAGACAAATATGCTTTTCATCAATACTCTAAGGGTTCCTTTTTTTCACATACCTTATAGGTAATCCTTATCAAAGTTTTTCTAATATGGTTATAGCTGGATAAATGATTGAAATGGCAGTCAAAAGTGGAAAGCTAGAGTAAGGGAAGTCTAATAAGAGACCGCCAATGAGGAAAAAGGAAATGAAGTCAGCAATGTGAGGCAATATGATTCTAATAATATCACTGTGTCCCGACCTCAAGGAATAGGGTCATAAACACAAAATGACAATAGACAAGGGGTAAGGGATCAGAGGAGAGAAAGAGAGAGGCCTCAATTCGATCATATCCCGATGACTTATAAGGAACTGTTTCAGATATTATAGAACTGACTTATCCCAACTGGTACGATGCTAGTGCTCAATGAGAGTACTACGCTGGAATCCCGTGTAACACCCCGATTTAGGGGCTAAATTTAAGAAAATATAAAGTGATGAATTTAATTGGTATTTTTAGAAGAAATTGGGGATTCAATTGTAAAGTTTTAAAGTTGGCAAACCGTTTTATAAAGTGCAGGAAATTCAGTGGCTAAACCCATGATTTAACCAATTTTATATATGATGAATTATAAATCTCTCCCCCGTGCGCAGGCAGCATATTTTCCCAGTTTTTCTCTTCCGTTGACCCAACTTTCAACTCCGATCTACTCGCCGTCTGACCTCCGATCGACGAGCCAAAACCACCATCGTGTTCGTTGTCAACCAAGGAACAAAACCCCTCAAACCTTTCGTCGTGAATCGTCACCATTCGTCGTTAATTTCAGTCGGAAGTATCGTCGGTAATAATTCAGTTTTAGTTGGTTTTTCATCGATTCACGACGATTCGGTCATCCTTTTACGACACCTCCCGTACCATCGTGTTCCTTGTTCCGTTCCGAGTCTGCCGGTGTCATCCTTGGTCTCCGTCGACGACGGCGCGTGAGGAGGTGAAGCGGTCAAAGTTTCCGATTTGTTGAAATCGAGCTCTCCGCCGTTCAAATTGTGAACCGAGCTTTGTAAGTATCTCAAAATCGCTCAAAATGATTTTTAAGAATTTTTTCGTGATTTTTAGGCAGCCGGAAGGGGCCCCATGCGCCACCACTGCGCGTGGGGATGGTCCAAATGACCAGTTTGACCGATTTTGGTGCATAGTTGACCGGTTTGACCGGTCATAACTCGACCCGACCCGTTTACCCGACCTGTTGACCCGACCCTTTGACTCGACCCGTTGATCCGACCCGTTGACCGTTGACCGGCGTTGACCACTGTTGACCAAAACTTTGATTGGCTTTGACCGGCCATTAAACGACCTTTGACTTTGACTGAGTATACCTATCCTGACATTTTCGACGTTCCAAATCCGATTCAGCTGTCCATTTTTCGAAATTCGAACCCAAAGACCTCGAAATTGCCGGTCAAACCCGTTGAATTTGATTTTGACCGAAAATTCCAAATTTCCAAAAAGTCATATTTTATGCTTTCGACGTCCTAAATCTGAATCCGAAGTCCGTTTCGCCAAATTCGAACCCGGTAAGCCGTCTTTCACTGATTTATCACCCGATTCGATCCGTTTATCGCAATTAAGCTCCGTTTCTGATATAATTTATGTTGATATGTATATGAGGAATTATTGGAAGATGATTTCAAGATCGAGGGCGTTCGAATGGAATTTTATGGTCGATTAGTATTATACGAAAATCGAGGTAATACTTTACTACCTCTTTATGCTTTATAGAACATGTTGGTATTGGTAAATGCATGAATGGAAATGTTTGGTCTCATATGTGTAATTAATGAAGATCTACACTAGATACGAATACGGTAGAAAGTAAATAACTGAATATGGCTCAGATGACTATTATAAGAAATTAGAGGACAATTGGAATTAAATTACAAGTTCTGGAATTAAGTGATAAAAGAATCAACCATGGATTGTAAATTATAATTTATCTCATTAAAGGTACTTAGATGATAAATTATGAGAATATTTCGATTAGGTAAAATTATGAAATTACCCTTATGTTGGAAAATGACAAGAATTGTCTCTGGAAGTGTATTAATAAATCTGAAAAGAATTATTGATCTACTAAAACTATTGATGTGCAAAAGAAATGTTAGTTTTACTTGGAAATTATGGATAACCGGTTTTTAACCCCAAGAAGGTTTATGCTAGATACTAGAAGTCTTTTAAGGAATCATTTCAAGATCAAAGAATGTTCAAGAAAGCAATTAATCATAGGATCTCTAAATTATATTATTTTCGTTAAGAGCTAATATCGAAATTATTTGGTTAAGAAATTACGGAAATGCCCTTAAGAGGTAGAATAGTCTGAGTTGACTCTGAATGAGAAAATACTTAGAGGATTCGTACTTAACTCAATTAAGTATGGATTTAATTGTTAAGATCCTGACTTAGTGCAGGAAAATTCCTGATATTCTGTTTGTAAAATCTGAGAAGGCACTTGACCTGAAAATATCCGAGTTATGAGTAAATACCTTAAGAATAAATTGTCGGGGTGTTCTGTTGTCATAATTATTCGAAAGGACTGAAGTAAATGATAAGATTTAATTAAATAATAAGACCGGATGGAAGGAAAAGATTGAAATACCGTAGATCTGTAAAATGACAAAAATATCCCTGTAATAAAAATGACCCAAGAATATCACTAAGCTCAGGAATGATTGGATATCCTCGAGTTCTGAATGAATGGAATAAAACTGAATACCAAAATTACCAAAATAACCTTATGGTCTAAACTAAGTAAACGTCTTGAATTAATTAAGGAATCCAAATAAATATAGGTATTGGACTACCTTTAAAGGTAATAGAAAACAATTTAAGTGAGTAGATCAACCCTAAAGCTATGTCAATACCTGAATGGCATAGATATTACTGGAATGCGTGTTCGTCTTCTTAAGTTTAACTCGATGATAAATTTTGGAAGTATTCAACTTAGTTCAACTCTGGATCGCATTCAGTACTAAGAATTGGATGTTTGTTCGACAAATCAACCACGAAGACCAAATTGAATGGAACGGAAGTGC